TGGAATAGTGGCTTCATTGCAAATCATAGGTGACTCAGCTTCATCTCTCCTGTTGCTCAGAGAGCATTCCCCTGATTTGGATAAGCAGGAAGCAAGCATGACCCAAAACTCTATTCTCAAAAAATAAATGTGAGGTCATTATGTGGCTCTCACCTTGGAGTGAGGCCCACATTTTAGATACCCTGGAGCTCCCAAGTGTACCCCAGTGAGCCTGACATTAAGTACCTAGTTATTTGCTGTTCTCTTCTGAGATACATCTAAACTTAGACTGATTTTTTTTATCTCTATTCTGCTTTCAGCTAACTTCAGTCAACCTGAAATTATGCCAATGTCTAATAAAACAGAAAATTTGTACATTAATTTGACCTGCTCATCCACACAAGGTTACCCAAAACCTAAGAAGATGAGTTTTTGGCTTACAACTGAGAATTCAACTATTGAGTATGATGGTGTCATGCAGAAATCTCAAGATAAGGTCACAGAATTGTACAACGTTTCCATCAGCTCATCTCTTTCATTACCTGATACTACAAGTAATAAGACCATCCTCTGTGTCCTGGAAACTGAAGAACCAGCGAAGATGCGGCTTTTCTCCTCACCTTTCTATATAGGTAAAGCTGCTTCCTAAGACTATTATACACAAATGCTTAACATAGATCATCCAGAGTCCCTGCCTGATAGGAAACCTCCAACCAGGCCATTTTATGATGCCCTTAGGAAGGTCCTGTTAGAGGACTCCTCACCTAAGTGATATAGAGACCCAGGAGGCCATGAGCTTACAATGCACATGAAGAAAACATGTTCTTAGCCCTGACACTTATCCAATCATTTGAGCTCCTTTTGGATGGAGGATTCTGAAGTTTTGGTCAGGAAGCACAGGATTTTTCCAGGCTAGAATTCTTCCATTGATTAAAACACCCCCCACACACACACACATACACATACACACACACACACACCACATGCATAGGTACATACAGCACTTGCTATGAGCACAGAACCAATCTAAACATTATTGGTTGCAAAGGTGAAAACTAACAGGTGTAAAACATCCTCTCTATCCTTGAAGACCTTCCCTTATAATCAGAACACATGGAAAACAGGATTTGAAAAATGTTGAATTGGAATAGAAATTATATTCTATAAAAATATGTGACTGAGTTTATGGCCATTCTAAGGCAGGAAGATCCTTGAGGGTCCGAGAAGGTTTCCAAGGAAGAGAGATGCTGATAATACCAGAAAAGAAGTTATTGGGCTTGTTAAGTGAAAAGAGGGGAGGGCATTCTAGATGATGAGTTTACCAAATTTCAGCGACTTCCTAAGTGGAGAAAATTCGAGACATTCTCTGTGATTAGCAGGTGGTAGGGGCACAGTGGATAGCTGCTTCTGATATAAGTGCAGAAGGTATATCAAAGAAAGGCTTAGGGCAAAAATGCTTGTGGCAGGTTCACAATGCTCTACAGGGACCAGTGCAGTGGAGAAAAGGATTGAACCTAAGCAGTATCCACTGGTAGAAGCCCGACATTTTAAAGTCGTGGCTTTGCCTCAGAGGGCATGTATCTAGATTTGAGACTTTCCTTTGGACAAGCAGTAACTGCAAGATTCTCTCCTGAAATAAAGGTGCTGTGCACCCACACCACCCCGTCACTGCTTGTAGCTGACCTTGACCCGCTGCATCAGCCTTCCACTTGCCTTGGTCCTCTTTCCAGCTCTGACTGGTTGGCTTTCCCCTTCCAGTGACATCCGTCCAATTCCTTGCTCTATCTCCTGGTATCTTGTTGTTCAGACATAACATGGCCTGTGGGCATACGGTTATGGACATTCCCAAGGGCCAATCCCTATGAACCAACTTTAAAACTATGCCAGTTTTCTCTCCTAGAATTGACGTCCATCTAGCCTCTGGGTGTCCAGCAAATGGGGGAGATACCCAGCCTGTCCCAGTTGCCTGCATTGTAACCTCTCTTGGCCTGATAAAAGCCTCTCCAAACTATACCTGAAGTTCAGTACCTTCTTGTAGCCGCTGATATCACCATATCTAACTTGCCCTGGTGCCCTCTGCTATGGCTCCCACAGAGTACAAATTGACATGATTTTGCCACCCCTTTAGCCTTGTCATGGCTCACCTTTTTGCTGCTTAACTTCTGTACTTCCAAAACCTCCCCAGTACCACCAGCTTCAGAGACATTTCAGTTCTAGTTGTCTAAGAAAGGGGTTTGACTCTCTGGGTTCCTATTCTGTGGCTTGATCAGAGATAGGTTAGACCCTTTTTGGATGTCAAAAGATAGTAGTCTTCACATTAACAAGTATAGCCACCCTTTACTGGGAGCCCAAACAGGCTCAAGAGGGATAAACTAGGAGAGACTCAAAGGGGATTGAATATGGGCTGCAAGGCCAACAACTCCTTTTCTTTATGTCCCAGGATCAGGGCACATGCCCACAAATTGTAACTAAGCTAACAAGCAATTTCTTGGCTTTATTTTTCCTATAATTTAGGATTAACTATTAGAACTGTTCCCAAAAGTGTTTGTAAAATGAGCAACTCGGTTCTTTTTTTTTTGTAACTCAGTTCTAAGCTTTCTCTATAAAGTCTCTTTTTCTAACTTTAGAGAAGTTAGAAAAGTTAGAAAAGTCTCTTTTTTTTCTAACTTCCCAGAAACTTAGGAGATGCCATCCAAAGAATTAAGTCCCGGCCTCCAGGGAGCTGATTTTAACCCTGATTCTTTAGGGCATAAAGAAATATCCAAGGCTTTCTAGTAGGGGGAGATGTCCCTCACTTCATAAGGTTATTGTGACAAATTGGCAAAGAAAAATGGTGACCTCAGTGGAAAAAAACAAACAAAGAACAAAAGCTGGAAGTAGGGCCTGTGAGGAAGCCTCTCTATGTGTCTTAAGTGAAAAGTGTCTGGAACCTGATCAGGAGACGGTAGTAGACAGGGGAGTCATCACAAGGGCAGCTTTAGGACCTGGGGACTGACTGCAGATGGGCAGCACAGTGCAGAGGGCAGCACAGTGCAGAGGACAGCACGCTCAGAGCCTCAGCACCTCAGCACGGATGGCTCACTCCAATTCTAGAATCATGGGCCAGGCTGACATGGGCAGTGTCATTTCCACCTCCAGGAAGAGAAGGCAGTTCAGTCCAGGTATTTGGCTAGACGCACAGGCCTAGTTCTTAGCTGCTGAGGCCTCGAGACTGGAACTTTCTGTGGCAGTGATTCTTAACCAATGTGCCACAGCACACTGGTGTGCCACAAAATTTTTTAAAGATCATCAATTAACTTATTTTCAAAAGAAGTTCAAAGCACAGTAAGTATATTCTTTTTTTATTTACTCTTTTTGTTTTTTAACAACACGATTTAAGTGTGCCATGAAGTTTAACTATCGGATCAAGTGGGCCATGAGATAGACAGGTTGAAAAACACTGGTGTATGGCTTCATGTTGTGGATTCCAGGCTCCTCTGGCCTTAGAACCCTGGGGAGAAACTGTACATAAGAGAACAACAGCTGATATAAACTTTTGTAAACAACTTTCCTGCCTGATTGAGAACTTATGGTCATTTTTAGCATCTGAGGACCCCCCTCACCAGGACAACAACGTCTGGATTGCAGCTGCACTTATATCAGTGTTCATTCCATGTGTGCTGTTACTTCTGTGGAGGTGCAAGAAGAAGACTCAACACGGTGTCTCTCATCAAAGTGGTGAGTCAGTCCTCGTCCTTCTTGCAGATTGCCATTGCTACTTGCTACTTTCCCATTGACCACTTTTTAGGGCTGGTTAGCTGAGCCCACAGGTGAAAAGTTGACAGGTTGTTAGAGGAAAAGGTTTTCCTTCAGGCTTTGGAGCCTATAAAGACTGTACTCAGCAGCTGATAATGTTTCTATGGAACTTCAAAGAAAGGAAACATCTCTAACCTAAGGTTTACACATGTACTTCTGGTTTCCAGGCAAAGATGGTTATTACTTGCTTTCCCTGTCTCACTTCATGTGGTTATTGTGACAAATCAATAAAGTAAAATAATGGAAATACTTCTGAATGTTAGAGGTTATGGACCTGGTCTGTACAAGCAAGGACATTTGCTGGAGGACTGCAAGATTTGCTTTTTTCGTCTCTAGGTTTCCTTGAAATCAGCTAAATGAAGTTTTCCTCAGTGACTTGTAAAAAATAATACTAAATTTTACTGCTTACCAAGTAGTACATATCCATTATCAAATACACCAAAAATTAAAATCACCTATAATTCTACCAGTAAAAAAAAAATGATTTTTTGGTGCATATCTTCCATATTTTTCTATGTATAAAGCTATGTTATTTTCCATAATTGGCATGATATTATAAGGGCTATTTTTCACAATTTGGATAATACTGTGAATACTGTTTCCTAAATTTGTTGTAATAAATGCAGCAAGACAATTTTCAATGTCATAAATATTCTACACCATCATTTTCAATGGCTACAAGGTATTCCATTATGTAAATATACATTAATTTATTTATTTAATCAAGTCCATTTGTTGGACACTCGGGTTGTTCACATGGAAGATATGGAAGATATGCACCAAAAGATATTCACATCGTTTTGCTATCATAAACAGGCTCCCCACTGACTTCTGTCGTAGAACTCTTTAATGGGAACAAAGTGGTTTTTCTGAGTTCATAATAATCCCATGCTTATCTGTGGTTTGGGTTGGTTTGGGCAAGGTTTTAAGATTGGTTTTGAGTTTATCTCAGGAAATGCCTCCAGCAGTAGTTAATTTGATTGGATCTAATAACTAAGGTATCCTTTCTACTTACTTATGGTGGAAAGCAGAAAATCTTATTTAAGATATACCTTAAAATCTGATTTTATTTATCTTAAAAAGAGGTGAGACCTTAGCAGTCATTGGTTGCATCATTTCACCCCGCTATATTTTAAAAATAGGAAGTTGGAGAATAATCATCAAATATAAATAAATTAATACAAAACATGTGGCAGATCCATTCAAACTGCTGAAGTATAAAGTGTGATGAGAGATTTCTATGATATAAAAGCATAAAATTCAGAGCACAATGTCAGATGTAGATAGCATATTATGCTTTCTCAGGCTTTGACTTTTCAAGGTGAGAGTTTTGAGCTTCTCTTTCTTTCAATCTCATTGCTATTTAGAACTAGCCAAATATGCAGAAACAACTTTAAGCTTAGGAATAGGCTGCTTCCTAAATTTGCTTTCACATTGGAATGATCAGCTTTCAAATGAAACAAAGCAGGGATACAGAAAAAGAGTAAGAATGTTTCTTCTGCCACAAGGCAACCAGAAAAATTTAGGAGACTAGATGAGGGAGTTAAAGACGGTGTGTGTGTGTCCACGTGAGAGAAGTTGGGAGTTGAAGAAGCTATGTGTGTGCAGGTGAGATGGTCAGATTGGGCTATGAATGGTAAGACGCATAAGACAGCAAGACAGAACAGCATATATACAACCCCCAAAAATGTGATAAATAATATTGGTAGGAAAAAGTTATTTGGTCAGTCACCTGTGCCAGTGAGGTTAGTCAAAGAGGGGAGACTTGATACTACTGGAGGGAAAGAGATTTGCCATGTATAATCAGGCTGTGTAGATATAAGATATTTATAAATTTGGGTTCTATAATTTCCGTAATATCTACCCTTGCTTTGGGTACTTCTGGCCTTGGCTGTATGATGAGCAGAGTAAAGCTCCCTACAAGATGCCTACCTCAGAGACTGTAGAACCTGTAGTAAGTTATCTTACATGCCAAAGGGGACCTTAGATAGGTGATTAAGGCACCAACTGTGAGATGGTGAGATCAGCCTGAATTACTCAAATGGGCTTAGTCTGATTATGTGAATCAGTGAATGTTTCCCAGATAGGGTAGAGAGATGATCTAGGAGAAGGAGGAGAGATCTGAAGCTTAAGAGGGATGCCCCACTGCTGGCTTTGAAGACAGAAGAAGGAGGCCAGGAGGCAAGGAATGCAGTTAGCCTTTAAAACCTGGACATGGCTCTCAGTGGACAGCCAGCCAACAAGGAGGAAATGAGATCTCAGTTCTACAACCACAAAGAACTAAATTCTGCCAACAGACAAACATGGAAGCAGTGATGACCCATCCACCGAAACACAAGCTTACTGATAACCATTAAGAATTTCTCCCCAAAGGATCTTTCTCCTAAACCAACATCAATCCTTTTCTCAGAGGAGACAGCCCTCAAAATAACTAAACTGGCATCAAAAGTCCTGTTCTGTGTTTGTTCATTAATTATACTAATAGTTTTTATGCTACAACCATGCATATTTACCCTGTTTATGCTGTTTAAATGAATAAAAGGGAGATTCGTGGTTATTTTAGTTAGTTTCCAATCTCTCTTCTGCTTTTTGTTTTGTCGAATGTGCTATAAAGCATGAGAATTTTTATCCATGTAGTACTCACTATTTTTTCCAAGTCAGAAGTCACCTTATCAGTTTAACTGTTGAGGAAAAAGGCAAAAATAGCTTCTCCTAAAATTTTACTTCTGCATTTGGGCTTTATGGGACTGACATGTGTATACAGGTATCCATAAAGTTCATGTGCAATTTAAAATAGTTGACTATTTTATGGAAACTCTTTATAATACTGCCCTGGAAACCAACAGTTTTTATAACTTGCCTCCCTAGAACAAAACTAAAACATTCTCAACTCTTTCAGGAATGAATTTTTAAAGGCCAAAATAGTACATAAATAGTTTTTTAACCAACATTTAAACAGAAACCTTCATAGGGCTTAAAAACTGAAAGTTGGTGATATCATCACATTTCCTCTTCAGAATGCTAAATTTGTCATCAAATCCAAAAGTTCAGAAGCTGCCTTTTTTATTGTCTGCTTTCATTTTTAAATAGAGGCTTGAAAAATATATATATGGTGATGATTTTATTATAGATGGTATGAAAGGATAATTTAATTATTCTGTGTTGGTCTATAAACATCTGAAATACTGTGTTCAGCTCTAAGTATCATTATTTTTAAGAGGAACATTGACAAAAATATAACCTAACCAGACTTATAAAGTGTCTGGGAGGTTAGTCAAATAAGAAATAAATAGCTCAAGGAACTGAGCTACTTCACCTGAAAGAAAGTCTGGGGAGGACACAAGTATGGCCTTCAAATATGTGAAAGCATTTGGATACAAAGATGATATTGACAGTGTGGTTCCCCCACAAAGGGGATATCAATGAATTAAAGTTATGAGAAGGTAAAAGAAAATGAGAGATTTTCTAACAATTAAAACTCTTTTGAAACTGTATGGAACAAATAGATTTCTGCTTCGTTCCACAAAAGATTAATTGCTATAGGAATTGTCTTCCTTCCATAAACAAAAGACAAAAATACATGAAACAACTGTTTTCAGACATTGGACAACAGACAGTGGAAAACTGTAGTCCCTGAGAGAAGGAAAAAGTTGAGATGCCCTGTGATTGCCCCAACTTTCTGCCTGGAATCAGTGTCCAGGCTTCTCTGAAGGTAGGAGAAGCCTAGATACCAAAACTAGAAAAAGACCTTCTTACAGGAGAAAAAACTACAAATATCCCTTTCGAATACAGATGCCAAAATTCTTAACAAAGTTAGCAACTAAAATATAGCAATATATTTAACACAGTAATGAAAGTATTAGCTATCGCAATCAGGCAAGAGCAGGGTATCAAGGGTATCCAAATAGGATCAAAGGAGATCAAACTCTCAGTTTTCACTGATGACATGATCCTATACCTGGAAAATCCCAGGTACTCAACTTCAAAACTCTTAGAAGTGATCAAGGAACACAGCAGCGTCCCAGGATACAAAATCAATACTTACAAGTCAGTAGCTTTTATATATGCCAACAATAGTCAAGCTGAAAAAACAATCAAGGACTCTATTCCTTTTGCAATAGTGCCAAAGAAGATGAAATATCTGGGAATTTACCTAACAAAGGACGTGAAAGATCTCTATAAGGAGAACTATGAAACTCTGAGAAAAGAAATAGCTGAAGATGTTAACAAATGGAAGAACATACCGTGTTCGTGGTTGGGAAGAATCAATATTGTTAAAATGTCCATACTATGCAAAGCAATGTACAGATTTAATGCAATCTCTATTAAAGCACCATTGTCATACTTTAAAGAACTTGAAAAAATAATACTTCATTTTATATGGAATCATAAATCCTTGAATAGCAAATACATTACTCAGAAATAAGAAAAATCAGGAGGTATCACATCACCAGACTTCAGGCTATACTATAAATCTATAGTGATCAAAACAGCATGGTACTGGCACAAAAACAGAGCCATAGATTTATGGAACAGAATAGAGAAACAGGAGATGAACCTAGCTACTTATTGCCATTTGATCTTTGACAAGCCTATCAAAAATATTCAGTGGGGGAAAGACCAACCCCCCTATTTAACAGATGGTGCTGGGTGAACTGGCTGGTCTCCTGTAGAAGATTGAAACTGGACCCCCACCTTTCAACATTAACAAAAATTGATTCTCATTGGATAAAAGATTTAAACTTAAGACATGAAACTATAAAAATACTAGAAGAGAGTGCAGGGAAAATACTTGAAGAAATTGGCCTGGGAGAATATTTTATGAGGAGGACCCTCCAGGCAATTGAAGCAACACCAAAAATACATTACTGGGATCTGATTATACTAAAAAGCTTTTGCACAGCCAAGAGCACTGTAAGTAAAGCAAACAGACAACCTTTAAAATGGGAGATTTTTGCAAGTTATGCTTCTGACAAAGGTCTGATAACTAGAATCTACCGAGAACTCAAAATAATCAATAAGAAAAGAACCCCATATCTATGTGGGCAAGAGACATGAACAGAAACTTCTCTGATGAAGACAGGTGCATGGCCTACAAACATATGAAAAAATGCTCATCATCCTTAATTATCAGAGAAATGCAAATCAAGAGCACTTTGAGATATCATCTAACTCCAGTAAGATTAACCCACATCACAAAATCCCAAAACTACAGATGTTGGTGTGGATGTGGAGAGAAAGGAACGCTTCTACACTGCTGGTGGGAATGCAAGCTAATACGGCCTTTTTGGAAAGAAGTTTGGAGAACACTCAAGGAACTAAAAGTAGACCTACTATTTGATCCTGCAATTCCTATACTAGGTATATACTCAGATGATCAAAAATTATTTTACAACAAAGACATTTGCACCAGAATGTTTATTGCAGCCCAATTCATAATAGCCAAGACATGGAAATAGCCCAAGT